CACCATCCATATGATTTAGCATCTGTAGCAATACCTTTAAGAGATGGAGGTTTACTTGTATCAATTTTTAATCCAAGGCGTCTCGCTAGTTTTTTACTTCCAAAAGTATTTTGTGCACCACCATCTAAAACTGCTTTAGGAATAGAAATATTATTGATTCTACATTCAGCAGTTGTAAGATCATTGGCAGGACGACGAATCAAATTAATATCCATAGGTTCATCTAAAACCATATCATCATTTGTGAATTCTTTACTTTCAAGTTCTAAGGATAGTGGAATAGGATTTTTAGGTAGAAGAGCTTTAAAATTATCAAGAACGTTTTTTAGTTCCTCTTGAATAATTTTTCTACAAATCTCAGATACATCAGTAGGAGTAATTATTTTATTTTTGGATATTACAGAGTAATGATTCTTCGAATCTACTTTCTTGCTAACCGGTTTTTTAACTACTTTTTTTTTACAAGATTCATTGCTACACTAGAATTATCATCAACTTCCACATACTCAACATTCTCCTCATCATCATCTTCGTAAACTATTTCCTCATAAACTTCCTCTTCATCATTATCAGGATCTTCTTCTTCTGTAGGCTTTTCATAGGTAACCAAGTTTACACACTTTTTCTTTGGTCTGATAACCTTTTTAATAACTCTTTTTTTAACTGGTTGTTTTCTTCTAACAGTCCGAGATGCATTAACTATTTTTGTAATAGGGGTGGTGCTCCATTGTGTGGCATTAGGAACAGATATATTTCCTATTCCATTCTTTTTCATAAGATTAACTATAGCAAGATCTATCTCCATTGGATCATTTGGTCGTTCAGCTTCTATATCAATACCTAAATTAGCATAATCAATTAATTCCTGATAGGCTTGAGCTTTTTGGGTTTTTGGACGAGGCTTTGGAGGCAATTGAGGTGGTGGAACTTGATTATATTCTGGGGTTTCCCCATATAACCATTGTAAATATCTACCCTTATTTTCATCCCACACTTTTTCATATGTACCAAGTTGTTGAGGACGATTTTTATTTACAAAGTAGGGGTCATGTGTAACTTGTAGAGAATTATTTTGTTTGGGTTGTAGTTGTAGATCCAAAGGGGTATGATTAGAAGAATCACCTAACGGCCTACTCGGTAATAATACTGGTTGTGAAGGATTTTGAAAATTTTGTAGACTTGAAGGGTCATTGCTTTGTAATTGAGATTGAAATATTGGTTGTGGATGGGATATTTGTAAAGGAGCAGATTGAAAGATTTGTTGTTGGGAAATTCCATTGGTATAAATAGAACCTCCACCATATGTAAATGTATCGGGTTTTCTTTCAAGCCACATGTTTTTAAGAGCTGTAAAGAATGCAGAAATAGTGAGTGGAGCCACCTGTGTCATTCTATTAAAAAGCTCTGTTGGTAATTGATTTTTAAGCACACCTAATACATATGCATCATTATTTGCTACTCCTAATAAAAGTGGTTTGATCCTGGTTTCATAAGTTTCTGGAGTATCATATGGCGTAAATTTTTCTTGGGTTAATCTTTGGATTGCTATTTGTTGAGTACCGATATTATGCCTTTGATATTCTTCATTAAGCCATGCTAAAAATAATACTGGTGTATTAACCGCATTTCCAGCTCGATTATTAAATGGATTGGGTGGTATATATTTTCCTCCCATTTTTGATGCTAATATTTGCGTTTTTACAGCATCATTAAAGCCAGCTACAACACCTAGTGTATTGCCACAATTATATAACTGTATGATCTTATTAACATAATCTTCTGGAGGTTCTTGACCAATATATTGTGGAACTGGAGCAATTAGTGGTGTCACTACGCCCATAACTTCTTGTATTGTTGCCATGTTTGCTATTAATGGATTTGGTGGTGGATTATTTTGTAACAATATAATTTGTCTTCTTAAATTTAAAATTATTTGCTGCTGTGCAAATTTTTCTGTTAATAATGTGGTGTTACGTCTTTTTTGAGCTCGAATAGTTATGCGTCCATATAATTCTCGAGATCTTAAAAAATTACCATGATTTTGACAAAGTATTAGTGCTTGTTCTGCTTGATGCGTTCTATTTCTTTGATTAATATATTTTTGATTTATTCTATTAAATCTATGTAATCCTCTACACCTTGCACCTATATATGATAAACCTAATATACGCAAGCGATTTTTTAATTCAATATTTTCATCTTCCAATGCTATATATTCAAGACCAGAATCTTCAAAATTTTCTTGAACACCTGCAAGAGATTCTGTTAATCGATGACATTCAGATCGATATTCATCAACTTGATCCTGTAAATATTCGTTTTTTTGATCTACCTCATTAACATAATCCTGCTGATTTCGAATAATCTCTACCTGCTCTTTTATAGTCTGTTGTTGATTGAATAATCTGGTTTCAACTTCATTAATAATACCCTCTCTAAGAAGTGCAACCTCTCTATTATGCTTTATTTCAATCCGATTTATATTTTCTTCAGTTTCTTTTTGAAGTTTATCTATCTCATCACCAAGTAATGGATCATCTTTTCCTCTATAAGAATCAGCCAAATACTTAAAATTTGCTCGTACTTTACCTAACAATATAAAAATATTTTCAGAACTTTCTATTATACTACTTGACATTATAACAGTTTGACGGAATTTATGAATTCTATGTTTTAGTAAATATACATCATTAATTATTTCAGATAATTGGGTCTCAAGATAAATAATAGTTTCATCCCTACTCTCTATATCCTGTAATGCTTTTTTGAGTCGCTTCTTAAGATTTGATACTTCAGCTTTAAAAATTTCTAACTTTTCATCTCGATCTATTATCTCTTTTTCAAGATATTTTATATAATATTCCGCTTTAGATAACTTGTATCTTAAATTCTGTATTTGGGATTCGAGAGACATTTCTTTTAATAATATAGTGAAAATACAAATGAGTCAACCTTTAATCTATATTGATTCAGGAAAAGTAAGGGAACTTGAAATATCGATTGCATTACAAAAAATATATTATCAACCTTCTGGATATCAAAGAACCATTAAGAATCTTTTTAATGCTTCCCAAGATCTTGGATTTGATTTTACTATAAATGAAGTAGAGAAATGGCTTGAAAGACAATTATTACACTTAATTCATAAACCGGTTCCAAAATATATTCCTTGTGCTAGTTTTAATAAGATTACTATTCCAATGGAGGTTATACAAGCCGATTTGTGTTATATGCCTCATGATAAAGTTGGAAATAAGATATATAAATATGCTTTAACATGTGTAGATGTAGCAAGTCGAACTAAGTGGGTTTGTCCATTAACTAATCGAGACTCTGATAGTGTTGCTAAAGGATTTATAAAACTTTTTAAATTTTATAACTTTCCTTTGATACAATTAAAGATATTGCAAATAGATTATGGTTCTGAATTTTATGGAAAATGTGAGGAGTTAATGAATAAATATAATGTAAAAATTAGTAGAAGTAAATCGAAAAAAAGGCAAGGTATAGTTGAGAGATTTAATCAAACTTTACAAAAGTGGGCATTTTTTATTCAAGATGGTAAAGAATTATTATTATCTTTACTGAAACGAAATAGAGCTTGGGTTATAGACCTTTCTATATTTCTCGAAAAACTTGATAATACTATAACTCGTTTAATAGGTATGTCTCCTGCTGAAGCTAGAAAAAAGAAATTTGTATATGCTAAAGCCTCAAAGCCAAGATATGGTCCTGTAGGTTTTGATGAAGTTCGATTGACATATAATGATCCAGTTATATATTTACTTAAGCCAGGTGAATTGGAAGGTGGAAAAAAACGTGCTACAGATTGTAATTGGTCCCCTCAAATTTATTACATCAAGGAATCTCTAGTACAAAAAAATCAACCAGTTTTATACTGGATTGAAGATATTGATGGAAATGGCCCAAAACGTTCTTTTGTCCGAGAAGAATTGATGGTAATTAAAAATATTGAATATCCACCTCAGAGAATACTCAAGAGTTGAGAAAATCATCTACCTCTTTTTCAATTTCTTCGTTAGTAGCAAAATAGTCTTTGGCTAATTGATAATATAAATCATTAAGTTTTAATATACCTTGAAGAATTTTCGGTTCATTTTTATATTTATACCATTCCTGATATTGCTTTTTCGATTCGATATATTTTTCTTCATTTGGAAATATCTTTTTTGCATTGTCTAAGATATATATATCTAGATCTTCAGCTTGGTGCAATTCGGTATATCACTTTTTATAATTTTGCATGAACTTGTCATCCTTTTTCTTTTTATAATAAACACCTGCTTGTGTTATGATAACTATAGCTTTTTCAATATCCTGCCATGTGGGTTTTGAGGATTTGACCTCTGTTGATACTTGATCGATATTTTGAATAGTAGTTGACATTTGAATATGTATTATGTTTTGATTATCTAAAGTTTTGTATGTAATACTTTATAAAATCTTTTCTTTAAATAAATATTTCGGTATAATAAAAATGATAGGTGAATATACTTGCCCATTCTATCATAATTCCGGTAAAGTTTGTGGAAGAAGCTGTATGAGACCTGAGGGGTGTAGTTATCATTGGAAAGCTAAAAAAAGAGTACCTTGTACTGATTGTAGTAAACCTACTGGTTCAACTTCTGGTCATTGTCCATTACATATCAGAGGATATTATGTTACCCGATATTATAGTAGGCTTCGATCAAATATACAAAAAAGATCTTATGAGAAAATAATTAATATCATTAAAGTTATGCTTGCAAATATGCAAGAGAAAACTTATGATGAAATAATGGATGCTTATAGAGATAAACTTACAAATCTTAATATTACTCTTTGTAAGGAATGTTTACATCCGATAAAATTGGAAGAGGGAGAATATTGTAATAGTTGTCAACTTGGCACAGTACTATAATAGATTACGTGCTAAGGCTTTAAAAATTGATTCTTGATAACTGAAAAGTTAATCCAGAATTTTGTGACTTTTACCGAAATTTTGTTACCCTTTAGGATATATTCATATATTTTTTGTTACCCCAAAGAGTATATTCATATATTTTTTGTTACCCCAAAGAGTATATTCATATATTTTTTGTTACCCCAAAGGGTATATGAATATATTTTTTGTTACCCTTTGGCATATATACTTTGATATGAAAATGTGGCGAAAAAAATAAATCACACCACATACTGGGTGCGATATAGCTGGTGGCTTTCCTGTGTGTTATAAAGCTTGAAAATCGATATGCTTGGAGGTGTTTTTGAGGCATGAAAATAGCTTAAAAAATGATATGCTTTTATATGTTTTGAGGCATGAAAATAGCAAAAAAATGATATACTTGGTGGCTTTCCTATGTGATTAAAAGCTTATATTGATATATAAAAATGATATGCTTGGAGACATTTTTGAGACGTGAAAATACCAAATTGGATAGTATTTGGCCAGAAATGTGGCGAAAAAAATAAACCAAGCCACATATTGGGTGTGGTATAGCTGGTGGCTTTCCTATGTGATTAAAAGCTTGTATTGATATATAAAAATGATATGCTTGGAGGTGTTTTTGAGGCCATTGGAGCCTGTGCCAGAACTCCCATTTTTACCCTACTAATGACAACAAATTCCTTAAAAAATACATTAAAAAATTTAAAAAGCTGATACACCAAATCATGGCCAGAGATTTCAATTCATATCCATTAAATGCTCCAGCAATTAATGCCCCTACCACAAGTCTTAAAAGAAGAATTTATAACTACATATATGACTGGATCGATATTATCAAAGAACTTAAAAAAGAAAAAAAATTCACACATATAATACAATCAAGTGCTTCAAGAATTGACCAAATCTGATGTATCAGTTACTTAGAATCTAAAGTCCTAGACACCAGAATCTTCACTTCCTCATCAATTCAAACAGATCACAAGCAGATTCAAGTCATCTTTGACTGGTTTAAATATAAACTAGTATCTCCAGGATATCAAACTAAGTTGTTTGACTGGAAGCAAGCATTAGAGCAACAAAGAAATAGTTTTATAGAAGAAGTTGATCTCAAAATAACTGTAACTAAGATCCATTTCTGGGTCATCTTTAACAATATTATAATCTCTGCTGCAAGAAACAACCTTTTCTTGATTAAGCCAATGATCCAGAAAGCTAAAGAGCTTGGCAGTGGCCAATATTTTAGAATAATTAAACAAATCAAAAAAATTATAGAAAAAATCAAAAAACTCTCAGCAAAGTCAAATCTAAAAGTTAAACTTCCAAAAAATATTGCATCTGTTCATCATAAAACTTTTGGAGATTCCCCAATTACCATTAAAATGCTCAACCATATAAGAAAAGTATTAATCAAGAAAAGACTTCATTGCATAAAAAAGAGCAACTGATAGAGCAAATTCAATCAGCCTTCACAAACAATTTTATCAAGTTCTGGAAAAAACCAAAGAGTTTTATCAAAAAAGTCCTGGATGACCTAAAACCCTCCCTTAACCTCAATATAATTGAGAATAGCGATGGTAATCTGACTGACGATCCTGATGAAATCAAAGCAATTATAAATAGCCACTTTAAGAAAATACTTGCAGATAATAATTTTGATCTCACAAATGTCCAGTGGAGAGAAGTGTACTCTCTAATTGAATCAATCTCTGATGATATATATCAAGAAACTCAGAAACAAATTAACTTGAAAGAGCTTTTTAACATACTTAGCGAAGTTCCAGCAAACAAATCATCTGGTGCATTAGGCATTACTTATGAAATGATTGATGCTCTAGGAAAATATTCCAAGGAAATACTTTTACAGTTATATAACAAGGTCTTGGACAGTAAACAAATACTGCAAAGATGGAAAAGCTCAACAATAGTTCTTCTATCCAAAAAAATAATTTGGTCTTGTAAAATTGCAGATACCTGTCCAATCTCACTAATAGATTCATTAAGGAAAATATTCACAAAAATTATTAACACCAGGTTATCAACCACTCTTGTGAAAAACAATATCCTATCTAAAGCCAATTTTGCAGGCCTAGTGGAGCAAAGTATCATGGAACCATTAACAATAGTAACATTAACCATTAATACAGCAATTAACTTCAATAATGAACTTTGGATCGCCTTTTTCGACATTGCTAAAGCATTTGATTCAGTAAACCTCAACAGCTTAAGAGCAGCTCTTCAAAGAATTAAAATACCAAATAAGTTAGTCAACGTACAGTATTTTATAATCTCCTAAACAACCGTGAACTTACCATTGCAACAAACTTCGGCAAAACAAATGAATTTACAGTATCAAAAGGGTTGGATTAAGGGAAAATTCTATCTCCACTCCTTTGGACAATATTCTATGATCCAATGGTATTAACAATTTATAAACAGCAGGATTATCCAACAATTCCCTACAATATTCTCATCTATATGGATGATGTGCTATTAATAGCAAATTCACCTTCTAAACTTCAAGAAATTACAGATACTTTCTGTTCGTTTCTTATGCTTAATAATATCAGGTGCAATTCTGATAAAACCATGCTAATAATAACATTAGAAAACAGTCATCAAAACTGAAAAACTTCCCTCAAAGTCCTCAATTCAACAATTACACCTCTTCCACAAAAAACCCTAATATGTTACCTTGAAAATTATTTCTTGGGAAATACAACAGACAGCCTATACAAAAATATCCTAATCAAAGATCTTAATCAAATTATCACGACATGCAATAAACAGTTCTGGAATGGTTCAATAATCAAACAGGTTACAGATTGGATTATTCCAAGCAAACTGGACTATGCACTTTACCCAATATGCCTATCTGAGCAGCAGCTATCGACCCTTCAGGCTAAGATTAACAATTTAGCCAAGGCAAAATTCAGAGTTAGAAAAACTATACCAGACAAAGTTACATATTCCCTGGTGGGTCTCAAGTTTCTTAACCTAGCAGATAGGCAGGAGCTTACATTAGTAAAACTTCTAATCACCAAGCTCTGTAACTTAAAAACCAAAAGTGTTCTCTCTATAGAAATCAAATCAATTCAAGCCAGCCATGCAATTTGGTTATGTCTACTATGTTCTTCTGAAAAATTCAAAGTCAGCTGGATTACTCAAGCTATACTTACCTATAAAAAATATCAAGTTTCAATATGCCCATCTGCTTGTGAGTTTACTGATCCCAAAAGCAAGAAGTCCTTGAGCCTCTTTTTCTCTTTCAAAGGCAAAGATCTTAGGAGACAGGCTTTAGGTCTCAGCCAGAAAACCATCAAATTTCTTAGTGACTTACTAGTATACAGCTCAAACTGCAAACTTATATGGCAAGAGTTTAATATATACTTAGGTCCAATACCAATTGGACCTGCTCCAACTTGGTTCTCAACTATTAATATTTCTACACATATCCAGGAGTCTTCCTTATATATGCCAAATATCAACGCTAGATTCTGAGCTATTGCATATAACAATCAGATAATTTATATTAAAGTCAGACGTAACCATAATCCCAGCAATCTAATGGTAATAACTTTACTTAAGTATAACTTGGAATTAAATTTGTAATATTGAAAAATAGTATAAAGATAATAATAATAATATATAGGTAAAAAGAGGTGTATAAAAATAAAGTTATAAAGAAAAACTGTTACAGGCTTTTCTTTATGCAAATAAAAAATAAGCAAAACTTTCAAACTTGCTTAATCTTTGTTTAAAAATTATATTTTAATGCAACAGTAATCCTTAACGTTCTTATATTCTTGAACTTATAATATAAATGATATATTAAGAAAGTGAAAAGTATTTTTTCAAAGAAAATTACTATAAAAGATAATTTTAAAGAATCAGTGGTAAATGAATAAGAGTTTTTTTTTAAAAAAATATTTTTTTAAAATGAATATTTTGTTATAAATAAAATATTTTTTTTTTATTTAAAAAAAATTTTTCAAATATTATTTTATTTATTATTTTAATATTTTGAAATACAAATTAGAATCTTAACAAAAATTATTTACAAAAGATTTGTATATAATAAAAAGAAAAAAAATTTTATGTAAAGCTTAATTTAATTATTACTAATTAATATTATAAAAAAAATTTTGAAAACTTTATAATTTTAAAATTTTTTAAAATTTTTTATCAATTATTAATGTAATAATAATCAGTAAGTTTGTTATTAAATTATGATTAATAATTTGTAATATTAAAAGAAGTATTAGATTTTAGTATAAGATAAATGAATATAAAATAAATTATTAGTAAAATTAATTTAAAACTTTATTATTATTTTTTTGTTTTAATTATATGTTCTTTATATATATTTCTTTATATCTTTAAATAACTTTATTTCAAGCTTTATTCATTATATTTTTTATATTGCTAGTATTCTAACAATCTCAAGTATCCATAGATTCAATATATTATCACCAGTGTCACTACATTGCTATTTTATCTTCTACACTATATAAATAAAAATATACATATAGAGAGAAAGCAAGCATCTAATAAAAATACAATTTTAAAATATTAAATTTATTTTATTTTTTGATACAATTGATAATCAGCATGAAGTAATAGAATTGTTAGATTCAACACTTCAATATAATAGATCAAACATATAAGATATTAAATTTTGCTAATTTTTATAATAAAACTTAAATCTGTTAATAAAATATGAAATAATTTATACTCGGTGCACTCTTTTTTAGGTGTTTACATTAGATTCGTTTTTGCGGAGGTGCTTATAATCAGAAGAAATAAATTTTTTAAATAAATTGATCAATATTAATCCAATTTGAATAAAAAAAAATTACTATTAAAAAGATCATATTGAGAAGAATCGAATGGTAAAATTTTTATTAAAATCTAATTATTGGATGCCGAGATATATAAATTTTTGTATATTTATTTAAATAAAATTTTTTGTTTCTTTTTCTTTGTATTTTTTTTAAAAATTTCTGAATAACAATTAATTTTAGGAAATGACAATTATCGAGGGTTAATCTGTATTTATTGATCCAGAATTCCAATAACAAATCATTTAAATATTTAGTATGTCAAATTTAAAATTTTAAAAGATACAGTCGTTAATACTTAAATAAATATATAATATTGAAAAGATGCTTTTTATAAATAAATCAGCAATTAATATAATAGGTTTTAGGGATTGAGTGACTTGTATTTATATATCCGACATTTCCTGTGCCAATAGTAACCATAAAAAGCTTTTATTGAAATCAAATTTATAAAATACAGCCATTAATACATAAATAGAAAACATAGTGGAAGCCATTATGCGAGGCTTTAATAAATGAATTAATAATATATGCTATATCTTGTTAATATTTATCATGATTCTTAATCATCTCACGAACATTCCAAGTAAATGTGCTGCTTGCTGGAACGTTTTTCCGAAGATGCAGATCATCCTCGTGAGTTCTGTTTAATTCAGTTCTCAACTTCTTTTTCAAATTCGTGAAATCTTTTTTTGCACTGTCTTCATAATGGTTGTGGTATTTGACAATTGTCTTGTAAAGGTACGAATGGGAAACGAAAGTCAAAACTAGATCTGGTCCAACCTCGTTGAGCAAGATAGCGTTTACAAGGTGAACGGTGGCTGAATCGATCTTGACGAAAGAAAATGTAAATTCGTCGTTCATATGTCTTTTGATACCATTGGCTTTTAGGGCCGCGTCAAATAAATGAGATTTCAAATCAAATGGATCAGTTAAGTTGGTTATGTCAAATTTTGGTTCATCGTTTGATCCACTACGAGAAGCATTTACGCGACCAACGTGTTTCGGAATTGCTGCGGGGTGAGGAACGTTTTCAAATATCGAGCGTTGACCATTAAACATTTTATATAATATTTCAGTTTGTCCGACCTCTTTTCGAAAAAAAGAAGGACAGAGGACTAACACCAATTTTGGGGAAATGACGTAAAACGAATGGTAAGCAAACCCAAATGGTGACCCAAAAATGGTTCCAGTTACTCCTTCGAAGATTCCAAATCCATTGCTGGTTACTATAAACTCGTCATTTTCGCCAGCTTGCCAAATAACAAGAAAATATTCGATCATGCGCTGCTTGTAGTCATCTCTATCTACTTTAAATATTTTCATATTATCTTTGACTTCATGATGAGGTGTATCTAATATTTCACGGATGTTTTGTAACCACACTTCTTCGGGTCTTTTTAAATTTTGCTGCTGCATAAAATCTTTTACCATCGACCTAGTGGAAGGATCAAAGTTAGCGCCAGTAAACTGACGCCATCGATGACCATTTCGATAATTCATAATAAAAATAAACTTGCGTAGATCTTCTAGATCTTTCCTGAGCAAAACGACCTGATTTTGTTCCTGAGATGCTTCCAAAATATCTTTGATTGTTTTTGATGCCCGGCATTCAAGCTTGGAAAGCTTCTCTTCTACGTGCATCACGTCGTTATTATTAAAATCTTTATACATATCTCGGTATCCATAAGTTTCTCCAATTAAAGAAGTTCCCAGTTGTTCTTTCTTTCTATCGTAAGTTTGAAGAATCTCGGCCTTTCTACGACTTTCCTTTTTTAACCCTTTGTTTTTTCTTCGACCTTTCCGTTGTTGCTGTTTTATATTGCCCTCAAATACCCTCTCATATTTGTCAATAGCAAAATTACGCAGGAGGAATCTTGGAATGTAGTGGTGATATTGAGGATTCATTATATCACACTTGTCAGAAGTAAAAATTGTCGTCTTTCAACAATGTGCAGAGTGCCAACAACTTTTCTACCAAAGCACAATACCATTTCTTTTTAAAGCCATTTACGACGTAACACAATATGGTATAGCGGAGACAAAGTTTCGTGTTTCCTGTTTATAAGTTAAAAACAACATTTGTTATGGGTTTTTTGTTTCACAGCCTATGTACTACCTAAAAATATCATTTGTTTTAAAATATAAGGGTATATTTCATTTAATTATACAATATATCATAAAAATCAGAAAAATGTTAAACTTGATTCTTTAAAAAAATCAAACCAATAATTATTAAATATCAAGCATTTTAATAAACGTATCTACAAAATTGCAATTAGGTTAAGGATAATTGCTGCACATTTCTCTAAATTCATTCAGTCATTATCAATTTGGCTAAAAACTTTAACTATTCGACTCAATAGAATTGGATGATATAAACAAAAATCAAGACACAATTCTATCTTTGCATTTAATGTTCATTGTCCACTCTGCCCTGATAATTTTTTTGGGAAAGAGTTTATAAGAAATAGTTATATAATATGATTTTTTATATTAGACCTAGATAGTCATATATATAATTGGAAAGCTTTATTTTAACTTTAACAAGTAGAATTAATTCAAATGTAGTTATAGAAGTTTAAATAGCCTTTTTTATTATCCAATTATAACTTAATATTTTATAGAAGTAATTTATTTCAATAATAATATAAATATATTAATAATAAAAAAACTACAATACAAAAAAAAAAGAGATAATGCAATTAATAAAAAAAAAGATTTTTAATTTAATATTATCTATGTGTCAAATTCAGTAATTATTAATTAGCTAATTTATTTTTAAACCAATAGTTTAAAAAATAATTTGAAAGTTATATAGGAATACAAAATAAAGATTTAAAAAAAAAATTTTGCAAGAAAAAAAAATAGTTGTTAAAATAAAAAATATTAATTAGATTAAATAATATATCTCAAACAAAAAAAAAATCTTTAACTTACTTTGGTTTATCAAGTTTTTGCTTAAAGAAATAATTAAATAATTAATATTTATAACAATATTTTATAAATATTGTTAGGTAAAATTAGTAAATATATTGTTATGTTATAATTACTAATTATATAATATTAAAAAAAACATTTAAAATATAATACAATATAAGTAAATATTGTATATTAAAAAATATAATAAATTAGATAAATAATAATATTTTATTGATTATATATATATTTTATATTATAAATAAATTTTAAAATTTTCAAATTTTAATTATAAATAATAAATAATTATAATATATTAATTAATTTTATTTATTTATTAATTAAATTAAAAAAATACATTATTATATGATATAAATAAATTATATAAAAAGTTGTTTTTAAATTTTAAATTATATTTATAAAGTTAAATTATTATTAAATTATAATAAAATAAAAAATTTAATTTTTTATATTATATTATTTATTAATTTTTAATTATTTAAAAAAAGTTTTATAAATTTTTTAATTTTATATAATAATAAATTTCGAAATTCTATATATAATATAATTTTATTAATAATTATTAAAATTTATAAAAATTTATAAAAATATTTTTAAAAATCTATTGTAATAAATCTATAGACACCCGACTAAAATCCTAATTTTCTCCTCAAAGTCAGATTACAATCTCTCAAACACTCTTAAAAGATTATAGGTATTTTGATAAGAAAAACATCTTTTATTATTGGCCAAAAAAACATTGTCAATACCGATTTCTCAATAATCAAGGATTCTGACCTCTGGCCAAATAACATATATGATTAAACTAAACACATATCCGGAGTCACATGACATCTACCGATCCCGAAGCTCCGCGCAAAAAAATTTTAAATAATTAAATAATTATTATTACGTAAAATTTATTAATTATTTGTAAAAACTATTTTATATCTTTATTAGTTTCTACATTTAATTTATATAATTACATAATATAAATTTATTAAAGACATAGTAAAACGAAACATAGATAATTATATGTATAAATAAATCTTTTTTATTCTACCGAATAATATGGGATTTGGCGGCTCC